AAAAAAATAAGAGAACACAAAAAAAACCCTATACCCCGAGCTCTTTCGAAAGGTTGACCTTTCGAAAGCGCTCGGGTTATAGGGTTTTTTATTCATTTCTATCATTCTTTTCATTGTAATTGTAATCGATATATTCTATATGAACTGTCGAGGAGAAAGAGTAGCAAAAATGGAACATAAATTGCAAAAAAAATTGTTTACCAATTACTGTTAGTCACGGTAGAAAATTAATCAGTTAATGTAAAGTTAGTTTGTTTACCAGTTACTGTTAGTCACGGTAAAAAAATAATCAATTAATGTAAAGTTAGTTTGTTTACCAGTTACTGTTAGTCACGGTAGAAAATTAATTAGTTAATGTAAAGTTAGTTTGTTTACCAGTTACTGTTAGTCACGGTAGAAAATTAATCAATTAATTTAAAGTTAACGCACGAATCACGAAACGAATGAAAACCAAATATTCACCTCTCTCAGTGATTCATACAACAAATCAAGGACTGACATGCTTATAATTCAATATTGAAAATAAAATCATCTTAAAAGTGAGAAATAACACGCACTTATCTCAATGTTATCAAACAAATCATCCGATCAACAAAAGACAGATGCACACTGTCTCGGTATAAACTAATGAAGCATCCAATAAGTAATAAATACACAGATACTTCTCCCAGTGTTAAATAACAAACCATCCAACAAGCAAAAAATTAGCATGCACTTGTCTCGTTGTTAATTAACAATTCATGCACAAGCCAGAAACAGATCTCCTGCACTGTTCTTGAAAAAGTATTTCAATTAGATGCTTCTGGATTTTCAACAAGTTTATAAAGCGATTTCACTTGAACAACGAGTGTTGATGATACAGTTTATTTGATTATTGAATTTAGCACAAAGCTGCCTGAAACTTACCTACTTTAGGTGTTCCTAATTTAGAAATGATAGAGTAGAGGGAAGTTAAATAGTTAACACCACCCACCGCCAATTCTTGAGCAACTTTAATCGAATATACGTTATAATACAGTGTATACAAATACAGATCTGACAAAAAGTTTACTATCATTGAAAAATTGGTCGAAGTAAAAAATAAAATCCATCATGTATGTTCTAATTAAATAATAACATTAATACTTACACACATTTAGTATGAACTTGGTATTTTTTAGTAGCGTGTTTTGTAGATAAGATGGATGGATTATCTTTCCTTTCACTTTTAGGTGATAATATCCTTCAGTATTCAAAGAAAAAGTTTAGTAATTCAACCTTAATTATTTATTTGTTTCATAGATTGAATTTTAATAGATAAGTAATACCTTCTGGGACATCAGAACTAGTTAACTCGTAGATTCTAATTTATGACAATTCACTTGGTGCCTATTAACGTAATACGTATAGTAAGTAGTAAAATTATTATCCAATGTTTTGTTTTGGTACAAGTAATTTTACTAAAGTAAGCATACAATTTGGGTTCCATAAACTGAGAAATTCCCCTTTCGAAGTTTCCCGTTGTCTCAGGATCCGATCACTGTGGTAAACAGATAACAAACTGTGCAGCTTTACATTAAGAAGATTCAGCGGCTGCATAACTTGTGGCGCCGCCTTTTGGTCATGCTCTATGGCGTTAGGCAGAATCGATCGGTAACATTCGTTTATAAGGTGGGTTACCCACATCCTGTCCAAACACTGTCAATCTTGTGACACAACAATCGTACCAGCAGAGAATGTATCCAATAATCTCGATAAGCAGTTTTCTGAACTTGCATTTTTAGACATTACGATCTTAGTTTTGTTTGAAAGGGACTGTTTCCTAAATGTCTTGCTCTTGGGATAGATACTCCATCATTAATCCAACTTACTTAATGCGTAAGATCCCTATGTCAAAAATTTTAAGTTTTTGCGTTTTTCTAACCCAGCTGTGGCCACTAGCCTATGGAGAATTTGTCAAACAATCACCTGCATCAAAAGAAAAGCCATACGGTAAGTCAATAACCTCCAAAATGTTTGAAATAAATCTTAAAACGTAAATTCTTGATATTATAAGAAAACAGTTATATGCTTGTTAATAAAAACAGGTTTCATTTGGCAAAATAGATTTTGATAATAAAAATGTACTATTAAATTACTCTTTTTTTTTTTTAAACTTATAATGGAAAGGACTCGTTTATTGCTAACGCTCTATTATGAGATTTGTCATTTAAAATCATTCATTAAAACATTTAGTGTTTAAGCAAATCAGTTAATTAAATACAATACCTAAAGGAATATATAAAGGTCACTTAAAAGTGATTGTAATAAAATATGATTATTATTATTAACCCTTCAAAACTAAAATCTGTGATAAATAATGTAAAAACAACATAGGATGATGAGATGACGATCGGCTTTGTAGATTTACAGTCATAGAACTCTATATGACAACCGGCTTTGTAGATTTACAGTTATAGAACTCTATATGACGATCGGCTTTGTAGATTTACAGTTATAGAACTCTATATAACAACCGGCTTTGTAGATTTACAGCCATAGAACTCTATATGACAACCGGCTTTGTAGATTTACAGTCATAGAACTCTATATGACGATCGGCTTTGTAGATTTACAGTCATAGAACTCTATATGACGATCGGCTTTGTAGATTTACGGTCATAGAACTCTATATGACAACCGGCTTTGTAGATTTACAGTCATAGAACTCTATATGACAATCGGCTTTGTAGATTTACAGTCATAGAACTATATATGACCACCGGCTTTGTAGATTTACAGTCATAGAACTATATATGACCACCGGCTTTGTAGATTTACAGTCATAGAACTGTAAAATTTTAAATATAATTTTAATCTGTGTATCTGCAAATCACTGATAGAATGGTAATATTATTGATCTGATGTGAAAATCCAACACATCTATTGAAGTTAAAGTGGCTCTACACTAAAACATATATTAAAACCAGGTGTTCACAATAAATGTTTCATAATTAACATACCTCAAATTGAAACTTTTCACAGAGTAGTATAAATAAGAATAAGTAAGGAAAGTATTGCTTTTAAAATACATCTTCATTAGTATAACTAGCGCATGGGTTTCACTAAACTATCCCTGTACATTATGTTTACATAACATTCAGCTTTTCATCCATTTCGATCATAATAATAATTAACGGGAGTTCTGATAGAGGATATAAATCATTTGGGCTATATCGCTATTATTAAACACCAACTTCGATAAATTACTTTAATAAGTGAGACGTTACGCCATAATATGACTGAAAATAAACTTAACTATTTTATCCTCTACTGGCCAAATATTGGCTTTCAGTAAAACAACTGCATAATAGAATGTTTGTTCCTTTAATTTCGGGCAAAGTGACTTGAGAGCTGTCTTGCTTAGCCATCCCTAATATAAAAGTTGTAGACTAGAGAGAAGAGTGCTAGTTAACATCACCTACCGCCAACTCTTGTGCTAACCTTTAATAGCAAAAAGTGAGATTGAACACCACATAATCACGTCCCCAAAGCTGATTGCGAGTCGAGCTCCATAACCAACAGTTCATGTGTTAAAATATTTACAGCATTTTGCAGAAATATCTTGTCATTTGCAACAATAAACTAAATCTAACCAAGCAATAATAGAATATATTATCGTTATTAAAATTTAGAAGAATTTGAAAGGACTCTATTCCCTAATACTATTTGGTGTTTGTTTTTAGATTAATATAACACTCATATCGGCTGAAAAAGTATAATAATGTATCTCAAGTTTCAAATTACTGAAGCTGTTTTTATAGTTAGCTGAAATTCTTATCTACTATACGTTTGTTGAATTACACTAAAGTTACTCCAATGGGATCGAATGTCACATTATAATGCCTCAAAGACTAACAGTGCAAACATGTTTGGCGACAGTTTTCGATCCCATGATTAGTAAATAGAAAATCGAATGCCCTAACCACCAGAAACATTATACATAGAACCTTTACGGATGATAGAATGACTGAATTAACTTAATATGTTGCATGGCGAAGATATTCACATCATAGATCTTATGTTTATTTGTGATATTTCATTAGTTTAACATTTCCATGTTTTGGTAATGTCATCAAACGCTTGATTTCAATGACCACAAAAATGTTAACTTATTTATCCTGAGAAAAATTAGTCGCCTTTCAGAGAGTTTTGTTTTATTACTTATGTGATGTTGATGGGATAAGTGATGCAAATATAAGGGTTTAGTATGTTATATTTAAAAGAATTTGAATATGCAAATCTGTAAATCGTGTCACAACCACAACCGAAATATAATTGTGGAGGAACGAAATGTACCAGAACTACGTTTTGACGTTGTTTGGTGTTTCGCAGGCAGTGTTATGCCATCAAAAATTGATCGCTTTGGAAAAACGTACATAACAGTCATTTCCGACTCAAAACATTTATGCATGCAAGTCATTGCAATATGTATGCAGATCGGAAACTTAGAATTTCCAAGAGAGAGATAGCCCTTATACTTAATGACATTGTAAAATACGGCGTCTTGTAACAGGTGAGCATACACGAACACAAAGTTCAGTAGAAGAATCCGTCCGTGTACCAGGCATCAGTGCGCAACATAACTAAGGAGAATATCTATCTGGAAAAGCAACACATATCATGTATACACAAGGTTCTTCCACGACATATCTGCTCATATCATCGCATACCTCCAGCACCTGAAGAATAAAATGGGCATTCATGCTATTCGATACGAAGACATATCAGTTAAGTCGAAGAATATATAGTTCATGGATTTTTGTTGAAACAGGCGCTGGTAAAACATTGTTTTCGTACACTAGACAAATTTTGGAAGTATGCAGAGAGGAAGGATGCGCTTTTGTCATGGCAACCTTAGGACAAAGCTATTTACAATGGAAATTACACTACAAGGATATTGTGAAGATTCACGCTCGTCAGATAGAGCATTATTGGACGTGAGGACATGGACTGTAATGTCGTGGCGAGGCTCTAAAGTCGTTTTAATGTAACGCAGTTAACTATTTATTATTGCAGTTTCTATATACACTAGAATTTCAACAGTGATATGTCAGTTATATATTGAATTGTAGAGAGAGTTATGAGATATCTTTGTATTAATATACACTAGAAAGTAAGTATGTTAACCACATTCTTTCCAACTAGTATAACACACGAAATATAAGCTTTAGGTGATCCTGACACTTAGAGAACAATTTTCAAATAATTTTTATCATTTTCCTTATTATGCAGCTCCAAAAGTGTAATAATGTAATCTATACAAACTCTCTATATGCGAGCATATATCACTAAAAGCAACGGGTTATTTTGCTGTAAATTACGTTTATACGTAAATAATGGTGAAAAAAGTTGCTCTTCAATTCTAGCAATTTATTTAAAGCTAAATTTAACTTGGGGATTTCACTTGCGTTTATTCTTGTGTTACGTATTGGAATTTCAAATGGTCTGAAATTGAGTTAACTGATAATTTAAATTCAGTAGTTAAATTGTACTTTGGATTTAGTATTTAAATAAATGCCCATATATGGTCAGTTTGTAATATTTGCCAACAAGATTGATACACAGTTTCTTTTTTAATATACACACAACAGTACAATTTACAATAACAATTATTACAAATAGTTATTAGGAACAATGATTTATAAACAAAAGTTTCAC